CCGGCACCCTGTCTCCACCGCGTGCACAGCCAGCTCACAGCACCAGCACCAAGCACCGGCAACCTGTCTCGAAAGCTCGCACAGGCAGCTCATTGCTAATTTGAAGTAAGAACCCCATAGCTTCCCTATCTGGGAACTCATTTTTTTGGAGTTTTCCTTTTTTATATGATAGCAGTGGCCTCCAACCTAGAAGCGATGGCCTCCAACCTAGAAGCAATGGCCTTGAACCTAGAAGCGATGGCTTCAAATGAAAGGCACGGGCTTTTGTCTCGGCAAATTTGCACATCGCCACTATTGCAGCCGCTATGACTTCAGTGCTACGGACTTGGAAGTCTACGCCTTCGACGACGGCTTCGTTGCCGGGCCAGCCGGTGGACAATACCAATCATCCACCATGGATGTAGGGTCGCTGGCTAGTGGCAGCTTGACGGGGACCACGCACACCTATTCCACCGATAAGGCTTACCTGGCCCTGAATATGAATGCTGGAACTGGCGTTTGCTTCGGAGATGCGAGCAAAGGAGGAGATTGCTCCCAGATTGACTTCACCGGTGTGACCAGCGTGCATGCCACGGAAGGAGCCTTCTTGGCTTTCAAGAAGGCTTCGGGTACCGCCACTTGCTGGGGGGACATCGACTGCAGTAGTGTGGACTTTACCGGCGTCACAGACGTTTACTCCACGATCCGTGCCTTTCTCGCCCTGAACCGCAACAGTGGAACGGGTGTTTGCTTTCCAACGGATGCCAGCGATGATGATTGCTCACAGATCGACTTCACTAACGTCAGCCATGTGCTTTACACTCGAACAGGCTTCTTGGGCATCAAGTCGGATCAGCCTGATCGGCTCAGTACGGCAGGATATCGTGATCACTTTAACCCCTTCGTGGTTCCGTCATGAGTTTTGTTTGATTTTCTCTAAAAAGCCCCACAGGGGAGACAACAGCATGTAAAGATGCACTGACTGCCCAAAATGGCAGTGGCTTGCCTGCCATGAAAAACAATGTTGCTGGGATTGGCTTTCTCACACCTGTTTTGTTCATAAGTTTGCTTCATAAGCTTGGCCCAGAGTCAGAGACATGCATGATTATACGTAATGCTATCAAGTGGCAAGATACAGGAGCTTCTTTGAATGCGCGGTACATGGCCGTTCATACCTCAGGTGGTGGTTGTCTCATCGAGAACGTTCGTGCCTTAATCAACATCGTGGTCAGTGGCTTCTGATTTGCGATCAGAAAGACCTTTCAATGTGCAGAACCGATGTGTTTCTTTATTTTCCGTTGTGCGAGTCTGCTTCTAGGCGTCTTTGTCTCCTGCCAAATCCAAAAAGATCCAAAAGGTTGTGAAATGATACGCTTGAGACATTTTGAGACTTTGTTGTAGAACTGTATACATCTAATCAGTGTTGATAGAAACCAAGGCCGAGGGTCTCCGAATTCAGACTTCAGACTGTTGCTCGCCAACCTTTGTTTCAGGCCTCCTACTCAGAGCGACTAGGAAAATGCAGGTGTGCAACATGTATATGTAGCAGTTGGAGTGACTACTGAGTCTGCAGGGAAACGCAGGGAGTTCCGCATGTATATGATGTAGCAGTTGCATCGAAGCAAGCTGGTGTTGCTCTTTTTCTGACGTTCTCAGAGTCCTTGAGGGGCAGAGCTCCTCTTTCGCTTGGCCAAAAAACCTGTGTGTTTAGTGAAAGCAACCGCAGCTGAAAAGAGAGGAAGGGAGTCTACCAAGCTCTGTTTTTTTCCCCACAGCTGATGGAAGTGAGACTCAGGTTCGTCCTGTTCGTCCATCTCATCATCTTTTTTCCCTTTTTGTGGTCCCCACCGTGCTCAGCTGGCTCGTTCTGGCGAAACGTGCGAAACGCTCGGACCCAAGGACCCACGGCCCCACGCCAACGTGGCTCGGTCCGAGTCTCAAGAGTCCAACGTGCGCAACGGTTGCTGTCAGACGTGGGTGAGTCCGTCAGACGTAGTGGTGCTTCCTTCACACGATTCTTTTCATGCATCGTGGTGCTTCCGATTCGCTTGTTTTTTTACTACTTTTTGCAGATTGCGACCCTTGTTTGGCTCTGGAATCATTTGATTCATTCATCGTTTGGTCACTTGAGCAGTTTGTGGTGTGGTCATGCTGATGTCTGCCAGCATAGTTATCTTAAATTTATCCAATGAGGAGCACAGCACAGAACGTCAATTCTTTTCAACGTTGGCATCATGTCCAAGACATTTAGAAGCTTCGTTGCATAGTTGTTCATTACAGAAGCCGCATAGTTCATGACTTCATCGCGTCGAACATCGTAGGACGTTCTGACACTTGCTTCGCAAAGATGGATGTACAGCATTTGTCCAAACTGGATGCAGTGCGTGGGCATTACAACCAAGAGCTCCACTCATGTGTGGCTTTTGGTGACTTGATTCGATTTCTCTTGTGGCTCATGGCGGGGGCAATCTTGCAGTCCGTGTCACAAGAATGGTTTCATCAGTCTTACGATCACCGGAATCTCTTGTCAGATCCATTGTGGTGGATAGTGAGCATGGCGATGTGTGCGGTTTTTGTAGCTGTTTCAATGAAGATTTGGTGGCTACTTAGCTTAAGCATGGGGGGCCTGTCTTGCTTGTTGATCAGCAACTTGAGCATCGAGCGTCAATGGAGAGGCTGCAGGCATGAATATGTGGAAATTGCATATGTCATGACTCAGAGGTTTGCAGCTGTCCTTGGCCCTTTTGCGGCCTGGTGGGTAACATGGACCTCACAAGCAATGGACCGTGTCATTGAAGAGCCCCCGCTGAAGGCATCTGGTTGTAGCAGATGCGCCAGTTTCTTCTTTGGCTTTGGTCGAAGGCATCAGTACCATCATGGCAGGTTGGGATGCTGTGGGAGGAGAGACAGGCCCGCTCTGCGCTTGCACATCAACGAGGATTCGGAGTGCTTCTTCTTCCGGGATGATGGTTGTGGGCATCTGCGTTTGCATCATAACAGCTTTTCCTCAGACTCAGCTGCCTCCGAGGATGAAAGTGATTCAAGTAGTGAGGAGAGTTTCTTTGCACAGGAGGGGAAGATGGTGACATTGATTTACAGTCGAAGCGGCGACCACCTGACTTGCCGACTGCAGCATCTCGATCATCTCGGTCCCAATGCAGGGCAACTTATTTTTACTGCGAATGAGGAGGAAGACAAGAAAGCACTTAGGATTCTGAAGTCTGACCAGCCGCTTCTGATCTACTCTCCAATGCAAGGTGGATCTGGAGTGCTTCTGCACAGAGGCGGAGGCTGCATCCAAACAAGAGTTGACCGCTTGGTGGGTATGCAGGACGCTGCATTGCAAAAATACTGCTGCTGCAATTTGCACTGTGCCTTGGCCCTTTGTCTATTCTTGATCATGTACGCCTTTGCACTGTGTATTGGAGGAACCGGTTATCCAGGATATGCCGCCATTGTGTTTCTCCTACTTCCTGAACTTGTGGACGATTTTCTACCAAATGCGACAACCAGTCCAAGCAAGTCACACCTTTATGATGGCAAGCTGGATACTGAAATTAAGGTCACCTTCAACCAGGGATGGACATGTGTGAGTGGAGCCGATCAAAGCGGGAAGGACTACATGATTGAGTTTTCCGCGCTTTGGGCGGCCACCTTTATTTTGGCTTGTTGTACCATTTCATTGATCTATGGTTGCTACTACCTCCACAATGCCAGCGATTTCTTGGGCATGCTCAATGACTTGCTCTGGAGGCGTGCCGGAGCGAACTACAGGACATGGCGGCTCAGGAAGCTCCACAGCATTCGTTCCAGTGTGGAGAACAAGAGATTCTTGGAGTTCTCGGCTCAGGGCTCCTTGCCAGGGCTCACGATAGAGGATGATGACGAACTTCAATGGTGGGTCGATACACGCGCGGCTCTCTTTGAAGATATACGTTTCAACCTGGAGAAAAGGAAACCCATCTTGGGCCTGTGCTTGCTGGCAGAACTGATGCTGATAGTTGTAACCATTTTGTCGCTGCTTCTTCACGAGAATGACTTTGCCCTCACCTGCTACGCTGTGACTTATGGCTGTGCCTTAGGCATCTTGACTTTGCTCTGTATATTTCTCTGTAGTCAAGTCAACGAGAAGCTACGCCATTGTACGTCCATCATGCGTGGGACTGAAGATGCGGAGGAGGACGTGCCAAGAGAGGACATGCCTAGAGCATCTTTGCTCTTGGGTACTGAGCCCCAGCAGCATGCCTTTCTCAATCACGAGCGATCGCATCCCCTGCAGCTGAAATTTTTAGGGTTTCCATTGAATTTCAATGTCTTCAAGATCTATGCAGCTCCAATGGCAGGCTACTTAGTGACCCTGGCCTGTTGGTTTGCCCAGCAGTTGGTCCAGCCGTTCTTTCAATTCAAAAGCTAGCTGCCTGTAGCTGGTGCTTTGCCAGCCCGTGGTGGGAGGCTGCTCCTGATCTATCTGGGGTCCAAATCGTCCCCAGAGTTTAATTTGTGTCCTCAAGGGTTGGGGTTTTCTCCACCGCGGGGCACAGTGAGGTCTCAAAACACCGCCGCAAACGCCAGGTTCCGTGCGGCCTTGGCCTTCGTTTCGGATCGCCAGCAACGTCAGGGTGTTCGACCGGTCTCGACCCGACCTGTTCGGCGAATCCCCGGCCGCTTGGAGGACGCGTTGCCGTCGTGAACTCAGGGCCGGAGCTCCCCTGGCCGACACCGACGAGGCGGGCGTTCCGGGTCGTCGTGGTTCCGACGTGGCTGGTGGCCGGATTTGCCAGAGGTCTCGTGATCGAACTCGCCTGCGGTTGCGCAGCAACAGCTTTGTTTTGGCCTGCCCTTCTGATTCTCTCGATTTATGGATGTTGTCTTTCTAAAATCACTGCATAGTTTTCCATAGCACACTTGTGACTTGAATTGGTCTCCACTCGAGGACTTGAACTTCAGCAAACTTAGTTTCGTGGATTACTTGGAACGTGGATGGTCGATCCCATATCATAGCATATCATAGCAGCATCCTCCGTTTGCGAAACGCTCCGTCCTCACACAAGACTTGTGGCCAGAATAAATTCGCACCATGAACCAGCAACACCCTTAGGATGGTTCATTAGATGGGGGAGGTCAAGCAAGCCACTGGAACTTGGGCGGATCTTCTCCGAACCAAGTGCTAACGACGGTGCTTTCGGTGCGGAACACCGTCGTTCCACGCGTCGTTCGCCAGGATCATCGACCGCCGACAGGCCGACGTCCTGGCCTCCCCGAAGCACTCGCCGCAGCCGGCGGCGTTGGGACGCAAAAAGGACCTCCCGAAAGCACGCACCGCCCAGCTGCTGAACTGGTGCTTGTAAGGGCAGTAGCTTCGGGTCTGCTGGCAATTGCTGCAGTTCAAGATGCGATGCTTGAAAGGATAGCTGTAGATTGAAAGGATTCGAAGGGAAGGCACTCTGCACTTGAAATGATTAACCAAGTGCTCTGAATACTCTACTTTTGGCTGATGCAGATATATTAGCACAGGTTGTTTGCCCATGGGCAAAAACAATTGACATCAATGAACATTCCAATCATTTCGACACAAACCTTCACCATAGTAGTCACCACAGTAGTCACCGAAACCAAACCACCGCGCCCCACTGAAAAACCAAACCACCGCGCGCCGAGCCGAGAGCGCGCGCCCACGCGGGAGCTCATGGACGCCGTTTGGCAGACTTTCCAAAACTCCTTGGGAGCTGATGGCTCCCTTACCCGGGCTGAGATGCAAGGCAGTCTTCGGTGCACGGCGGAGGGACAACTCCGCACGGGGTGTGTGTGTGGGGTGTGTAGAGGAGCCGTGTGGCTTGCTCTGGAGGCAGTTCCATACCAACCCTCGAGAAACAGGGTGAGCAACCACTTTTATTTAGGCTTTACTAAAGTAGTCTACGTCATGCTCTATTTGCTTGTCTATCATCACTATTCGCTTGTGAACGAGATAATGACACGAAAGTAGTCTGAAAGAGATAGTGTGATTTGCGACTTACTTAAAGTAGCCTGAACGAGATACTGTGTCATGACCTCCTACTTAAGTAGTCCAAACGAGATAGGGCCCCCACATATTAGATGGTGTATTTGAGTTTAGTACCAAGTAGATGCCGCCGCACAGATGAATGAGATGCATGTTCCAGATGATCAGTATCCACTTGGAAATCCATTGACTCTCCAAATGGTCGACACTGTTCATACTTTGGCTGGGCATCCTGGAGCGCTGGTGCTGCATTCGGGGCGTGCAGTTGAGCCAGATTGAGCCGTAACTATGGCCCTCGTTCTGAAGTGTTTTTCCTCTTTTTTCGGGTGGACAAAAACACCACACCTCGGGAACCTGTGCGGTTGGAAGGTGCCTTGCTACGCCTTGGCGTTAGCCAGCCAAGTGTGGAGCTGTTGCTGGATACTGTACCTGCCACGCCTGATGGAAGGCAGGTGAAATGGGCGATTGCCCAAGAATTTGCGAGCGAAAACGTGCCAGTTCACCTCGTGAAAGTCAGCTGAGATTTCCACGTTTTGACATTGGAACACTCTCACTCCACCAACTGAGGCAAAACACATATTCTGTTTCCTTGACGTGTCCCACCGGGGTTTCACCGCATGAAACACCGTATTCTCAGGGGTTTCAGAGCCCTGGGCTCCACTCTTCTCGATCCGAACCAGAAAACATAAAACAACTTGAAACAACTGGAGGTTTCCCAGCAAGCACTTGACATGGTTGGGACTGACAAGGATTCGGAACAACTGCCATTCCCAACTGGCTTTCACACTTGATCTGTGGATCTCAAATTGCCATACTGGAACAATCATGTGTTTCTGGTAGGAGACCAGGTTTGGAGTTTCTACGTTTTTCCCCAGATACGATAGCTGTGGGGTTTATACTTCAAATAAGAATGAGCTGCCCATGCGCCCTTTCGAGACACGCTGCCGGTGCTGGGCGCCGGTGCTGGTGCAGGTCCCGGTGCTGGATGCTGGTGCTGTGAGCTGGCTGTGCATGTTGTGAAGACAGGGTGCTGGTGCTGGTGCTGGGCGACAGGGTGCAGTGGGCAATCAAAATGCTGGAGCAGCATCTTTGATTTGAAACGTGAGCCTGATCAAAAGGCCGCTTGAGAACCCGGGGACCTCCAGATAGTAGAGTAGTATCGTGTTGTGCTTCGATTAGTTTGGCTTTGCGATCTTTGCGTTGCTCTTGCTATGTTTGATTAGGCTTGCGCGCGATGCTTGTGAAACCTAGGAACTGCACTGTGTGCGCTCATAGTATTGTACGTATACAATATGTGTACCCGCAACATTCTGTTGTACTGTTTGCGCGTATACTTTTTGTCGGGACATCCTGTCAGTTCTTTACACAAGAGACCCACATTTTTTCATCGGGGCATCCCACAATGCTGGAACAACATGTGTTCTCGCCTCTTCGAAACGTCAATCTTCCCACTTGTTAGCCTGTCTCATTGGCATTTTGTTGGGCCCATTTGCGGTCACCGGAAGCTCTCATGGACTTTTCTTGTGACTTACCTAATTAGATTTTTTCTGTCTCATTAGTTACTATATAGTTGTTATCTGGGATCTATGCCGGTGTAGGATGAAAAGGGACATGCACAGGCCGCCGGGGTTTCTGGAGGATCGATGCTGGGTTGACGGTTTACGGATCGATTCTTTTGGGTTGCCCACTCCGAGCAGGTTGAAAGCTGACTCCGATCATTCATCATTCAGAGAATCATTCCGTCCATCCATCCAATTCCACATGAGTCCACATGCTCCCACTACAACACCCACAGAACTGATGCCGTTGGCAGGCTGGACTTCCGTGCCTTCCTTCAGAGCCTGGACCAGGTGGATCCACCGGCCGCGGAGGTGGCTGCGGCTGAGCCGCCGCCACCGGAAGGCGCGTGCGAGGGCCGCGTCAAATGCAGCACGCCCGTGCTGGGTCGCGTGGGATTTACTGCATCAGTAGGGGATGATGCTTGACCATTGAAGCTAGTCTAGTTGTTCACGATCTACTCCCATGTGCTCATGAACTTTCTGATCAACTCTCATGCGCGCCACAATGATCCATCAATATTGCAAAGCTGTGGATTCCAACTCGCTCAAGACTCCACCCCCCTTCGCTTCACACCTTCGATCCAGGTGTCTACGACCTCCTAGTGCTGGGCTGCGGCCCCGCTGGCGTGACCGCCGCGCTGGAGGCCGCCAGCCGCGGCCTCCACGTGGCGGTGCTGGAGCCGCTGCGGAAGCCCACGGGGGCGCCCACGGGCGCCTACTCCAAGTGCATCCGGGCGCGCCGAAGGGCCGTCCGAAGGGCCGTGGGAGCGTGGGAGCGTGGGAGGAGGGTTGAAGAAGGGTAGGAAGGATTTGTCACAGCTGAAGGAACTTAAGACCTGAACAGTGACCTGTTTTCTCAGTCAAGGCGCCTTGTTCAGTGGTCATAGTTGTATCAGGAGGGAAACAGTAGCAACACTTGGTAGTAGTGCTAGTTCCTGGCATGTGGCTGACACAAACGAACTGAACCATGGACGCCATGCAGGGTCTTTTGCCACAAAAGTCTATCTACAAAGACTGCAGTGTTAAACAAACCCATCGTCGTGGACGGGCGATCTCCGTTCTATTTGATGTCTGGAAAAAGCTCCGAACGGAGCGTTCTTGCTCCTAGTAGCGATGGCAGGAGCCCCCTATAGGCCCTAGTAGTGTCCGTGCTCCTAGTAGCGATGCCAGGAGCCCCTTAGTAGCTTCTTGTTCTTTCATGTTCAGAAAGTGCATCAAAAATTCCACTTTTCACGTTCACCCAAAATTCCACTTGAACGTGAGCATTTCTGGCAAGGAGGCGGTGATGGACAAAAAGTGGACCTGGCCGGAGATCCACCAGATGGTCCAGCAGACCCTTGGATTCCATTGGTCCCATGTCGTCGTTCATGCCGTCGGATGGTCGAGCCGATCTGTTACAGGATCCATCAACAGTTCGACATGTTTTCTGCTTCGCTGAGCCTTGGGTGTCGGGTATGCCTGAATAAAGAGGTGTATGGAAGTTCGGGTCATGTCGAGAAGTTGAGGAAGCACCCTTGTGGCTGAAGCCACACCACACACCGACTGTTGGAATGGTTGGAAATCATTCAGACACACGTGAAACGGGCACCCCCCCGACCCCCCAAACAGCACAGCCCACATCACACGTGAAACGGGGAGACTCGACTGGAACTTGGGCCACTCCGGAGCGTTTCAACGCTCCTCCCGCACCGACATTGGGCTCCGTGACGTGAAGCCCTGCGAAAACCAAACGCGCTTAGCCACCGTTACGTACCATGCGCAGCATGGTGGAATCCATTCGTTGTCTTCCTACCAGGAAAAACACCTGAAAACAAACCATGTATATGGGTATATGGTTAAAATCTTGAACACTGAGAGCAGACACACAGCAAAAAGCTTTTCGCATATCTTATCTTTCACATGATGCCACTTCAAGGATCCCAGTCCAAGCTTTTCGCGTGGCCTCCAAAAGGGACGGATGACGACACTTACTACAAGTGTCATTGCCAACCTTCCCGAGGATTACCTTGAACGCGAATCGGAACACCATGCGGATGTTGCGCGTGTTCCACGTGGAGGTGGGGCGAGACGTGTCACCGGAACCAGACGGGACGGACGGCGTTTGGATGGACGGACGGACTCGAATTTGGTGCAAAGTGATCAGGTGACTTGGAAGGTCTTGGCCTGGTATGGCTTTTGAGTCGGTTGGGGCTGAACTCCTGATGGTGGCAAGATCCTAGTGATTTGATGGAAAGTGATCTTGGATGAATGCGAAGACTTCGATTGACAAGATGCTTTGCTTGAAAAAGGGATCTTGGACCGGACCTTGAGTAATCTTCAACCCGCTCCTGGCATGAAACTAAATTGTTCAAAGTGTAAGCGTCTGCAAACGATCTCAAATTTCGAGTGACTATAGATTCTATAGCAGACCACTTTTTCCTTTGTTTGCTTTGTTTTGCTTCGAAACTTCTTCATAAACCCTCATTGCACTTTGCCACTTCCGCGCATGGCATGGTTCCGCGGTTCACACACCTCGCCTGGCACGCCACGAGGTGCTCCACGGCTCGGCGGAGTTTCTGGACGCCACCACCGTGCAGCTCAACCCCTCCGACGCGAAAGGAGCCGCGGAGCCGCGGCGGCTGTCGGCGAGTGCGGTGGTGGTGGCCACGGGCAGCCGCGCGAACCGGCTGCCGATGATCGACTTCGAGCTGCCGGGGGTCTTTGACTCAGAGACTTGGAATTGAAAGCGAAGGAAAGCGAAGGGAAGCGAAGGGAAGAGGGAGATGTTGTATAGCGTTTATTGTTATTCCAATTAGTGCATGAAGTCTCATGGCGAAGAGAGTGGACTGTCCGGATTGTCTGTTTTCAGTGCAAGAGGTGCATGTGACTGTGAGTGCTCTACCACGGATGGAAGTGTGGATAGTGTGGGAGGGTTGGGCATCCGAGCTCGCCCAGCCAGCTGAGGATACCATCAGCCAGTTGGACTTTATCCCCAAGTCCATGGTGGTGCAAGGAGGTGGAATCATAGGCCGCCGATATACGAATTGGACATTGACAACTGGTTTTGAACTGCATGAACATTGGTTTTGATTATGAACCACAGAATGATACGACTTTAATGTACATGATGTTCTTTCTATATAGTTACATATCATGAGAAAATCCAGATACCCGGGACCCAGTCTGTTCTTTTTCCAAGAGCCTAGTTCGATGAGACCTTTGCTTGGGATGCTTGACACACACATCCGGACAGGTTTGGAGTACGCCAATATGTTCGCCAAGTTGGGTGCGAAAGTGGTGGTCGTGGAGTTCATGGAGAATATCCTGCAAATGTTAGACTGTGACCTCAAGGACTTCATCTGCTGTTGAATCCATCGTTTGTTTCTTTTATAGAGACTACAAGCAGCAAGCATGTCACAGTTAATGTCAATGGTGTCTACCATCACTCATAATACATGCTTGTTGATAACCGGTTGGAAGCTGATCTCCGGCATTCTGCAGTTCTCCTGGTGGATGACTGCCACTGCCACTCACCGGCGCTTCTTTTTTTTTCCGCCACAGCGAGGCGGCCTTGCTCACAGATTTGGCCAGCAACAAGGTGGAGATCCTCCTGAAGACTGGCATCACTGGAGTGAGACTTGGCAGACCTGGCAAGACCAAACACTTTGTTCAGTGTGACGAAGACTCGGGCTGTGCTTCTCCGATTTCGGGTCACTTTGAAGTAGGGTCACCTTGTGGCTATGCGTTGGTGTGGAACTGCAGGGTTAAGCTGAAAAGGGTCCTCAACAACAGATTTCTCAAGGTGCCGAAATCTATCGCAGTTCCATGTTGTGTACCTTAAATATCTCCGTGCGCAAGAATCTCTGCCGCAATCATGTGCTGAATCAGAGGAGGGTTGACATCTGCAGCCATGTATTTCACATGTGAAACTTCGATCTCCATGGACTTCATAGGCTCTCCCTGCTACTGGCAGTCCCACGGGGTGAGCCCTCCAAGCCCCACGTCCTGACGTTGGTTGAGGAAGTCCTTGGACGGTGGAGTGCGAGGGAAACCGTATCTGGTGGTGGAGACCACCAACGGCCCGGGCACCTGGGAGATGGGTGTGAGATGGGAAACAGACGATGGCAGCAGAACAAGATCCACTTGAGTTAGATGGCACAACCCCCCGGTAGTTGAAGCGGATCCTCAGCAAACGTGCTACTTCGCTGGGGGCAGATAGGCAGATAGGCAGATGATAGGCAGAGGATAGGCTAGCACCATTCGTTCCCCTTCGTGCGTCCGCAGTTGGTGTGCGGACCCGCGTAGGCAGCTTCCGCTGCGAAGCCTTGCTCTCTGCAGTGGGCCGCTGTGGGTCCACCGATGGATTGCAGCTGGAGCGGATCGGCATAAAGATAGGCGCGAGTGGAGAGTGGACAGGGTGGACAGGGTGAAGGAACCTGAGGATGGCTTGGAGCAACTTTCCGGTCGAGGTCAGGGGCCAGACATTTTTGTCTGGTCAAGTGCTGGTCGTGATCAGGTGGGGTGAGTCAGCTTGGAGCTGAAGAGTTCCTACATTTGGTGACATCCTCAGTGACTGGACTCCCACAGTCCACCCTTTTCAGCTCTTCTCCTGTGGTCTTCTGCGCTGCCCACGGCGCTTCTTCGCGACGCGACGCACGACGCCAGGTCGAGGAAAGATGATTCAAGTCGACGAGAATCAGTACACCGGGGTGGGAAAGATCTATGCCGTAGGTGATGTCGCAGGCCTGGTTTCGTCCGTATCTTCATGTACGGGAGGATTCTGAAGGGGAGGAAGAAGGGCTGAGTGGGATGGAGAGGTGGTTGTCAGTTGTTTGATTGAGCAACTCCAATACAACCACACCAGCTGGTACTGGGAATAGTTATTCTTTTGTCCACATGTTGGACAAACTCTCGTTGCTTCATCTCTTCGAAAGGAAAGAAGTAACACCCACTACATCGAACTACCCACCTTGGCGCCAACCCCCCCCGAAGTCATCACAGACACACACTCAGACACAATCTAGCGCCTCGTCACACTCCAGAGCCTAGAGTCACCCTGATCCTTTCCAGCTGGAAGTCCTCCACCCCCCATTTATGGGCTCCACCGCGTCACTGAAACCGAGCCGAGCGTGCTCCAAAAACCACCCGCTGCTCGGTCTCCGAGGCGGCAACTTGGCGACCATCGGTCAAGCACAGGCGGTGCGCGCGGTGCGGAAGATGTTCGGCAGCGGGCAGTACACCCTCCAGGCCGGAGGTCGTAGGCCACCGCTTGGTCGTGGTAACCATGGGTGACCATGGGTGACCATGGGTGACCATGGAAGAGTGTGTGGTGGTTGACGGTTGGGGAAGATGTGTTTTAGAGTTTAGATGTGTTGATTGATGTGTTTAGTACTTTGAGTGAGTGAAGATGATGGTGATCTTTTTAGAGCACTGTGTTTTGGATTGCTCCATGTGGCGAGATCGATACAAAAAGGCAAATCCAATAATAGTCATCACATTATATAACTATTGACTATTGTCATATGTAGTTCTCGACCACTAAACTTGAGAGGACGACGCCCAAAACGGGGCTTGTATACTCTTTCTTATTCCACGTCGCCCAAACGGGTGTTTGTCTCAAGGACAAGGCTGTGAAGCCCTACACTGTGCTGCTTGGCCAGATTCTGGCGGCGGGAAGCTTGAGCTGGTTGATGGGATTCCACTCAAGGAATATCCTAAGACTTGATTTCTGTGACAATGAGACTAGCTCAAGCCGTTTGCGAATCGTCACGTGCCCAAAAGCCTGGTTCCATTGAAAGACTCTCCGGCTTTCAGTGGGTGCAACCCACTTCTAAACCACGACTCTCCGGCCATGCCTCACTGTGTTCTCGCCTCCTCCGTCGCAGCCCTCCCATCGAAGTGAGGTGGACGATCCCGGAGATCTCCTGGGCGGGGGTGAACCAACAGGAAGCCGAAGCACAAGGCCTCAACTTTGGTGTGGTCCAGGCGTGGGTGGTTGGGGGGGGTGGACCAGTCCAGGCGTGAGTGGTGGGTCCTAGCGAGTGGGCTAACGGTGTGTGAAAGTGAAGTGGTGAAGTGCTACATCAGTGACGGCCGTTGATGACGAGCATCCACCATTCAGCTAGAGAAGAGTGCAAGTTGGCATATACAAAAGACACCAGATCGGCTGAACACCACAGGCCGACTACGGGAAGACAGTGCGCGGCATCGTCACGGGGGAGTCGGGATTCCTCAAGTTGATCTTCGACAGTCCCTCGGGCGTTCAATGGGAATGTCTGGCGGTCGAAGCGGTGGACACTGGCTGCATCAGGAACTGCAGGAGGTGATCCCCCAACAGCATCAGTTGAAGACATGACATGGGGTGTTGTTTTAATTAGGATGAATTGGTTTCTTTCCTTTTTTCAAGCAGTACTTTGGAAAGAGCCGCGATGCTGTTGATGCAATCCTGCAAAGCATGGGGAAAAAGAAAGCCACTGAAAGCCTTTGTTCTATTGGTCTCAGGTGGTGTAGTGCTTTCGGACGGTGTAGGTCTGCGAAGCCCTTTCTGCCATCTGGACACTGTAGTAGAGTAGAGGGGATTCACTTCTCTATTTTGCTGTCAACTTAGAAACCGATGGCAAAGTGCTGGGCGTGCACATCTGTGGTGCACAGGCGGACGGCAGACCCGTGTTGGCGGACGCGTTGGCGGACGGCAGAGGATGTCATCCTCCAAGTCCAATGTCTTTGAATTTGAGACGAAACGCGGGATTTGGTGGATGTCTTTTTGCCGCATCCTCGATTGGGTCACCGAAGACATTCGGACAAAACTGCAGTTTTAAGTTCAAGCTATCGACTCACTGTGTCATTCATTCGAACATGTCGTTCTGTCGTTCCTTGACCGACTCCCAGTGACGACCCCCGCGCCCCGATTCATCCGCGGACTCACCCTCGCGCCTTCCACCAGGCATCCGAGCTGATTAATTTCGGGGCGGACGCTGTGAATCATGGCACCACCATCTTCGACATTTTGCAGTTCGTCTTCCCAGCCGTTCCTGGGCTGTGACCGGTAAGGCGGCTCCTCCCCCCTTGTTGGCTTCGCTCCTCGGGGGTCGGAGGAATGTTGCGAAGTGTCCAGTTTTTCCTTTTCGGAATGTCACCTACTAATTCTAGTGCAACAGATCCTTCCTCTCCTCCAACAGCCATCTCTCCCCATCTCCCCATCTCCGTCAGCCGCCTCAGGTGACCTTTCACACGCTCTACGGCTGGGCAGCTGCCGAGGCGAGGAACCGGAACCTCCAGTCGCGAACCGGAAGGATCTCCAGTGGCGAAGAACTTCGTCTTTCAAAGAGCGACCCCTTAGGGCGACCAAGTGCCTTTAGGAAGAGCCCTTCGACCAAGTCTTTGAAGACAAAAGGACCTCCACCAGCAGGAAGGATATGATACTGTCTTTTCTTTTTGTCGCAGTATATACATTTATCGAAAGAAGAACACAAGAAGGCGACAAGAGGGAACCCTGCCTCGCCCAAAAACCTCCCACTTGCTGACCAAAAAACCTGGGATAAAGTCGAGTTCCGCAACTGCGCAGGATTCCGCAACTAGGATTCCGCAACTGTTTGGTCGGATTCCGCAACTGGGATTCCGCAACTGGGATTCCGAAACTAGGATTCTGCAACTGGGATTCCGCAACTAGAATTCCGCAACTAGGATTCCGCAACTAGGATTCCGAAACTAGGATTCCGCAACTGTGAAGATTCCGCAACTGTGAAGATTCCGCAACTAGGATTCTGCAACTGGGATTCCGCAACTGGCGTTCCGCAACTAGGATTCCGCAACATTGTGGACTCCCTCACTAGGATTCCGCAACTTTGTAAATGATGAGGGACACGATGGGGACAAGGGGGGTTGGGGGGTGGGGGGGGTTGGGTGGGGGGCTAATGACGTTGGTTTGGATGTGCTTCGAAGGTGATGTCACAGGCACACACGCTATCGCATGATGTGGAGATCACCAGTTGCAAGTTTCAGAAGGCAAGTTGCAGAATCTGACTTTCCAGTTTCAGAATACCAGTTGCAGAATCTGACTTTCCAGTTTCAGAATACCAGTTGTAGAATCTGACTTTCCAGTTTCAGAATACAAGTTTCAGAATCCCAGTTTCAGAATCCTAGTTTCAGAACCCCAGTTTCAGAATAATAGTTTCAGAACCCCAGTGTCAGAATACCAGTTTCAGAATCCAAGTTTCAGAACCCTAGTTTCAGAACCCCAGTTTCAGAACCCTAGTTTCAGAATCTGACCGATTAGTTTCCGAATCCGGCTCTAACCAAAAAACCTGAGGCGTTTCAAAACACATCAACCGCGAAACACGTTCTCCCCGGAGGCGAAGATCAAGTTCTCCGGCGTCAAAAGCCTCAGCGGCGGCGCGGGTTGGAGCCGTCTCCGCAGGCCGTCTGCTTTGGAGGGCCAATGGGGTGAGGCACGTGGTGAGGCACATGGTGAGTACTTTTGACTTCCAGTTAATTAGACCACTCAGGTACTGCGAGTCAGATGTACCAGCACAACCTGGTGACTGATACCAACCGCTTCACCTCCACGGTCTCGGTTCCATGTAGAACCAATGGGTCGAACGCATCCGCCGATCCCCGTCCGACAGGACTATCATCCGACACTTGGAGCGGACCAACTCGGAGCTCACCTTCGAGGAGTCCGGGACCGTTGGACTCATTTCCAACCCTACTAGTAGCAAGGACGCTACTAGGTTGGAGGCCATCGCTACTAGTAACAATAAAAGCTTCTGATATATGTTTTCTCTCTCTGGCATACCGTGGCGTGTCGAGGCCATCGCTCGCATTCGCTCGCATCCACTCGATTCGCTCGCGAAGCGAGTCAGGCTGAGTCTCGTCAGGCTGAACTTGGTGCATCATCCAGGATTCTTTGCAGAGAACTTGTTTCATCCTAGAGCGTCTAATGTCTAAGGCGTCAGTCAGTAGATGCCGCTCACTCCTTGGGTTCAGGAGGCGGTCTGCCAAGCTTTCTTGGCCTTCGACACAGACAGCAGTGGCTTTTTGGACAATCAGCAGCTTAAGGACAGCACCTCACAATGAGGACACGTGACATATACATGTGACATGTTCAGTAGCCTGGGACCGGTAAGAAGGGCGAAGAATGGGACGCTTTCAGGGTGCTATAGATGACCACCACGTGGGTGTCAGCAGTCAAAGGGTGGATTCCATTTTTTTGGGGACTCCACCTCTTAAGTAGATCATTGGTTTATGATGGTATATGATTGAGTGCAGGTCTGCCCCAGGGGGTCATCACAGTTCAGGTGGTCAAATTGAAAAGGTCAAGTTGATGTTTTCACCACGTTTGCATGTAGAACAAGCTTCCAAACCCCGAATCGGCGCTTCCCTTCTATTGAGTTGGAGGTGACAAGAGTTTGTTCTAGATACCGAATCGAAACATCAGTCAACATGACAACATGATCCACACCAGTGCTCAGGATAGGCAACCACCTTCCATGCTTATGCAGGAAAGCACTGATGCTTTGTGTGATGATTTGTGCAGGAATTCCTAATGAAGGGGAGTCTTTCTCACCACGTGACCTGATTCTGGCATCTTGGACGGGGTCGCTTGAAAGGTACTGCAGTTGCATGGTAATCAGTTTGCGCTATGCCGCTATGACAGGAAGCCATGAAGAGCTTGGGCGTCGACATGGACGACGAGGCCATCCAAGAGATGATGAACGAGGCGCGGGCTCGGCCGCTGCCGACTGCTGGGGAGGGGGTGGCCCGGCCATTGGGGCTGCAGGAATCACCAACGAGGAGTCCCATCAAGGACTATCAAGCCATAAACATGTACTCTCCCAGTCCAGTTTTCCGTGACATTCTTGGAGGAGCTGAAGTGGTGATCTTTTTTCAGGACTTGGAGGACCATGAGCCCCTTTCAAGAATACTTTGAAGAAACCTGGTTCGAACATTGCAAATTGACCGTTGCGAAAGCCACCGCCACCGGACATTTGCCGCCGAAACCTCGGTGGGAACAAACTGCAACATGGCTGGATTACCTGGCGTCATAAATCAGCTGACTACGGTACTGATGATTGCTTTCCTTTTTCCGGTGAATGATCAGGAACATGGAGCATGAACATGACCTTTGGAAAGTCGCAGTGAACATAGTTCTTCGAACAGAGATGTGGTTCTGTGTGACTACCACGGGGTCTTTGCCTTCTTGGGTCTCCTGATCATGTTTGCTTCACTCCCATACCTCCTCAAAAGCCGCACCTCCTCCTTTCCGGGCTCCAGCTTGCCTCCACTGGGCCCACTGGGCCCACTGGGCCCGAATGGGCTTCCGAGGCCGATGAGAGTGCGGATGGGGTGGTCGACTACGGAGAGTTTCTGGCGGCGTGTGGCCGGACGGAACGGACCCGTGGGAAGGACTGGGGGTTGGAGTGAAGACCTAGGAGGAGTGGAGGTTTCCGCGGAGTCGGCCACATGGAATCGGTTCAAATCTCAGGTCAGGACGGTTTGGTCACTCCGCTGTTGATAGGGTTGAGGTCCTTTGTGGATCGAGTCTAAAGGCCAAGCTTCAGTATCAGGAGGTGTTCGAGCTGTTCATGAGGCACACCATCCTGGAGGCCCAAAAAGGCCAAACATCGACTTCTTTTGGACTACAAGACCTAGCTCTTTGAAGACAAACTCTTTCAGTTTATATTTTCGGATGGTCAATTGCCCAATTCAATGTTCGCCCAATTTCATGGACTTTCGATGTTCAAGGATGGTGGACTGGGCACCCTGTCCACCAATTGCCCCTTTCTTTTCGCCACTTCATCGATCTTCAGCCAACCTGAAGGAAAAGCGTACCTCTCTCGCCGTTCCTAATCGCCATCCTATATATGTCATCACCCTCGTGGGTCGTCGGTTTTTCGTTACATCCACCGGCTTCCTCCAGTGTTTCTCCGAGGCAAAGTACACGGCTCTGACAAGACGTTGCAGCGCGGCAACACTGGGACGTTGAACCTGCGCCTGCCGAGCAAGGTACGAGTGGTTGAACGGAAGATTTCAGCCAGCAGGGACTGGTTTTGTAGGGCACTAAGGTTTTGGAGTATAGGTGCTTACAGAGATTGATTGGAGAAGGGTCCGAAGGGTGTAGAAATTTCATGTCACTCAGGTGACTCTTCAAGAAGCTAGGCCTTTCAGAAGAACTGTTGGCAACATGTAGGAGTTGATGAACACGGATGGGGTGGGCGAGGGTATTTTTTCCCTTGGCTTCGGATTCGACCGACCATTTGGTTTCGGAAGAAACTGCGGTGCGGACACCGAACCGATTGAAACGCGTTTCGTTCGCTCTCCCTTCCCTGACGGAATAGACGGACCAAGAGAATCAACCTGTCGCCCTTCACCTCGTTCGACCGCGGACTTCGTTCGTCGACCTCGTTGACTTTGTGGACTTGGACTTCGCCAGGTGAAGCATCAGACCTATGACCTGGTGGTCTTAGGCCGCGCGCGGGGGGCGATCTGGCGATGGGTTGAGACTGGCCAAAGGGGCTGAAGGGTCGGCACATCATTTGAGCCTCAGAGCCTCACGTGGATGGGTCTCGAAAGGGTCTCGAGTCTCGAACATCTCATCACCGGGTCTCACCTACCCTCTAAGTCGACTGTCACGTAATGCCAGTTTAAAGACGATTCGAAGGGGCCAAAGTGTTTGAGGCCTTCAGATTTGATGAAGTACAGTGCTGCAGACAAATCTGCTGCGGTTTTGGCGAGGGGGATCTCACATTCTCAGGCATGTTTCAACGGGCCACAACTGGCCACAAGTGTGATAAGATTTTGTCGACGTTCAAGCGTTCACTTGTGGCAGAGTCCTACTGTTACCCTCACCGAAATGGAGGAGGAACACTTGATCCAAACTTGCACTATCCATTGTGTTGACTTGAGTCCTAGTCTTTCTATGTCTCTGCAGTCATATGAGTCATATGATTCAATCATCTCATCCCTCCTGAGAGCTGCCGCACACTCGTGGTGCCCGACCTCTTCTCGCCAGGTTGCGGCCCCGCGGGCCTCAAGGCAGCTCTGGAAGCCGCCGGCCGTGGACTGCGGGTCGCCTTGATCGAGCCCAAGGACGGCTGAGAGGTCGCTTTGACCGAGCGAGACCGAGCGGTGTCAGGTGGGTCCCAGCGAACCGAACGGGCGAGAGCGTGGGACTTCGGACGAAACGAGAACGTCGCGAGCGTTTTCTCACCGAGTCGCGAGCGTTTTCGCACAGCGTGAGGTGGCAACCGTGAGCCAAACTGTTGAAACAGATTGAAAGTGAAACGACGGAATGTGTCTCTCTCTCTCTCTCTATATAAAGAAAACATAAACTTCTTTTGACCACTACTTGGGGTGTGATTTGCTGCCAGAAGAACTGGAACAAGCTGCCGTAAGTTTGCATGGGTGGGAATTGGATGCGACGCGATGCTCCAGTTTGAATCACCTCGCCGTGGCGACAGGAGCATTTGACGGCAGCACCCACGGGCGCGCATTCGAAGTGCATGCGTGAGTCTGTGATGGAGAACAAGGCCAGGATGCGGGTGGGCGAAATAGGGTTGCGCAAAGCTGATGCATCATGAGACTCTTCTTCCTCTTGGACCTGTGGCCGAGTCTTCGGCCATGCCATGCGAGGCATGGCCATACAGCTCTTCTTCGCGAAGACGAACGAGAGACCCCCAACCTCCGAACACTGATGGGTCACGCCTTTGGGACTGCGTGACCGGTATCCAGGGCACACCTTGAATCAACATCCTTGACAACGACATGACCCGGAGGAGAGGCTAGGCATGGCTCAGGTGACCATAGCCTGGGCTTCACATAGCCTGCGACATCTCAACGCACGACTGCCCTGGCTCAACAGGTGACCTGGCCGGAGATCCGCACCTTGATCGAGCGCGTGGTGCGGGACGCGGAGGCCAACGCCGCGCGGCTTCTGAGGCCGAAGCGGTCTGGCTGGTCAGTCGCGCGGCTGCGGCCTCGCCCGGTGGAACTCGTGGGCCGAGACCGTCAGATTGATCATGACTTGATGGTTTTTGGACTTAGAAGCTTCTCGTTACTAGTAGTAAGAATGCTCCTAGTAGTAAGGCCAGGAGCCCCTAGTAGCTTCTTGTTACCAGTAGTAGGAAGGCTCCGTTCGTAGCGATGCCAGGAGCCCCGTTCGTAGCGTCCTTGCTCCTAGAGTCACTCTTGAGAGAGATTACTTGGGCAGAAGGTGTTGTTGATCTCGTGGTGGGCCCGTGTTGGACGGTTGGGACCTACTCTGACCAAGCTGGATTGACCCACGATCTCTAGTTTTAAATGCTGAGAAGCCACCAAAATAGCACACCGACAGCATTTTTGACGGCCTAAGCTGGTGGTTTTGCTTGATCGGCACGTAGTGAAAGCAGATCAGCTGGAATGGCTCGTGCTCTTGTGACTCTTGTGCTTAGCTTGGTGGTGGCATTGACTGCAGCAGAAACGGTGAATGATTGCATTGAAAGCAAGTGTCGTGGGTGTGGTGGTGAGCAATGTCAGCTTTGCCGAGAAGACAAAACCACGATTTCTGCTTGCGTGTCATCTTGCATCGAGACAAGCTGCAAGGGCTGCGGTGGTGAGCAATGTGAGCTTTGTCGGGAGGATGCCAAGACCATTGAGTCCTGCTGTTCTGACAAGCTGACCGCGGAGGTCGACATGTGCAAGGCTTCCAAGGGCCCATGTGATGGTCTATACGGTGCTGAAAGCCTCCAATGTGCCTGGGAGGAGGATGTGAAGTCTTGCATGGAGACCAGCTGCCGTGGCTGTGGTGGTGAGCAATGCCAGTTGTGCCGTGAAGACGCCGAGCGCATCAATACGTGCTGCAACGATCACTGGCATTCGGTGGATCCCCCACAGATGTGCAAGGATGCCAAGGAGGAACTGGAACCCAAGGACCCTTGCAGTGGGCTCTATGGCGCAGAAAGCCTCCAATGCGCCTGGGAGGAGGATGTGAAGACGTGCATGGAGACCAGCTGCAAGGGATGTGGTGGAGAGCAATGTCAGCTGTGTCGTGAAGATGCGCAGCGGATCACCAGCTGCTGTGATGACCATTATCACTCCGTGGACCCTCCCCAGATCTGCAAAGATTCCAAGGAGGAAGCGGTCACAAGCTGCTTTGACAGCAAGTGCCGCGGCTGTGGTGGAGAACAGTGCCAACTTTGCCGTGAAGATGCTAAGAGCGAATGTTGCACTGGAGCCATGCGGACTCCTTCCTGTGAATCTTCCAAGGCGCTTCTTCCATAAGTGAAACAACCCGTACAGTGTACATCAGGCCGTGCAACTAGGATGTGTCATGTATCACGAGTACATCCAAATTCACTTTAGGAGGTTCCTAGCAACAGTTCTAGGTCCAATTCATATTTTGGGACCTGTCTGCATGAGGTTCATTCCCAGCAGATCAGGATGCAAGACCTAATAGACTCATTTCTCATTAAAGCATTAGAGTCAAAGATTGTTCGCGGCTTGGAATGAGGACTGAGAGAGATTGCTGATCAGACATTCCAAAGACGCAACACGGGCCATGTTTCATGCGCTTCCCAAATTCCCAGCTGGTCAATCAATCTGAAGATGGTCGGATTTTACCTCGTTTTCTTCTGTCCAAAGTCTCTCGCTTTGGTGACTGAGCTACGACCGAAAGCTCGACCCCACCGGGCAGGGCGGCCCCACGGGCTTGGGTCGATCGATCGGTCGTGGTCTTCTCCGGCCCGAAGAACGGGGCGTCTCGTCTCTTCTTGACCCAGGAGTCGACCAGTCCTTTTTTGGCCCAAGAAGAGACGATCTGGTCTCTTTTGGGCCCAAGAACAAGAAGAAGAACACATTGAACACATGATTCCGCAGTTTCAGGGTCAGACCCTGTGTGGGAGTAGGTGTGGTGAGTGTGGATGGTGATGTCCGTTCAGAACGGGGGAGAGACGAGTCTGGAGAGGTTGAGTCTAAGAGTCCGAGAGTTGCCGTGTGTTCGACCTTCGACCGTCAGACCGTCAGACCGTCAGCCAGGACCTTCCATGTGTCTGTCCTGCGTGGCTCTGGCAGCTTTGCCGTGACCTGCACGCAGAACATGACGTGTCCACCCGGTCGGTCACCGCGTTTGGGGCGTCGTCAGTCTGGCGTCGTCACGGATGTGTTTTCGCATGGCGCAGCGGCGTCACCGAGTGTGGCCGATGTAACCCTTTGGCATTGAGGACCTTCCGCCACCGTATCGCTGGAAGCCATGGTGGGCGGTTTAGAGATTGCACATGCCTTGGGGAAAAACAAGGTTTGGAAATTCCGCCCTGCCGTACTGTGCCTGCAGAGGGGAGGACCTTGCTCCGCAAGAGTCAACCCCGCCTCTATAGGATTTCATTCAGTAACTGTGCATCAAAGCTATCACTGACACTCCCTCCAGCTTTCAGCGTTTTCTGATATCATATCTTTTTTAAAGTAGAAGGAACTCATCTTGTCACTATACGTGCATGCTCTTCCACGCGTGTTTCACACGGGCGGCTCCCGCACCAGCCGCGTGTCCCCGGCGTCTCCGCGTGTCCGAGGATGAGTCCACGATCCGCTTCACCGACGAGGGCGGCAACTCTCAGATCTTGAAGACCACGGGCACCGTGATCGCCACAGGGTCCAAGGCGAATCGCTTGCCGATGGTGCCCTTTGACCTCCCAGGCTCTCGCGAGAAAGCCGCGCGCGCGCAGCAACAGCGAAGACCGAGTGAAGTGATGGGCAACGAGTGAGTTGACTCAGATAGGATCCGATAGGATCGAGTTGAAGTGGAACTGATTTGGACTGACAGGCTTGCGGTTGAAAGTCCACGAAAGACCCTAGAGCTGTTCATCTCAACCAATGGATGTTCCCTCTTGTGAGGGTTTCATTCAGTGCAGGCTTTGCTGGCTTTGAGTTCTTTAGTTTGGGTTCACTCGTTTCCATTTTTTTGACACGGTCCTCCATGTTGCATCAACTGCGGACAAGCCGGATGCACCAAGCGCATGCACCAAGCACGCGTCACCTTCGTCGGCCTGCTGGGAAGGTGTGTATGATTCGGACACGCTGGCGGAGATCGATTACATCCCCAAGAATATGGTGATTCAGGGTGGTGGCATCATAGGTGGGAGTCGGTGGGAGGTTTTTTGTTCTTTTCTGCAAGCCTGCGTCTGTGGTTGTGAAGGAAATTTGAACATTTGTTCGTTGGAGTTGACATGGGTGGATGAGCAAACATCTAGTGGATTCAAGATCTGATGGCAACAAAAAAGGGGGAAACATCTTGAGATCTACGATAGAGGCAGCAGCAGATTTACCGCCTTTTCAACAGTTAAAAGCTTTGATCGTGGGAAGCTCGGTCTTCTCACTCGAAGCTCGGTCTTGCCGATCTTGCGAGGCTTGGAGTATGCCAACATCTTTGCGAAGATGGGAGCCCAGGCGAAGGGGGCGACCGGTGAACTCCGGGCTGAGCGGTCGATGGCGGACGACCTGGTCCGCTTCTTCGCATGTTCGCCGCTTCGCCGCGTCGGCTCCGCTTGGTGAGAAGTCTTTCTTCTCCATGCCAAAAGCATCCAACACCATATGAGTTGCCTTGTCAGGACACAAAGGTCTCCTACGTCTTGACCTACGGACCTACGGACCTACCGACCTTCCGCTCATCTGCTGTTGACCTTTGTGTCCTCTGCTCTCTCCAGCCTTGGCCGCTGATGGCCTACAGTGTTTCGCCAAAGCGCAGGTGGTGGTGGTGGAGTTCACGGACAAGGTGCTTCAGATGGTGGACTGTGATCTACAAGCTGCCCTTCTTGCAGAGCTGGCGAACAACAAGGTGCCAAGACAAGAGAGGTTGGGAGTGAGAAAACCTGGTAGGAAGACAAAATATATGAAGAGATCTGAAGAAGAGATATCAAGTTGGAAGAAGAGATATGAAGTTGGAAGAAGAGACAGATATGAATCAAGAGATCATTTCTTGCGTAGCATGAAGGATGACCGGACATGACTTGCTAATGCGGAACTTGGCTTCAATAGTTGCTAACCAAAACGATCCTCAGCAGTTGCTACTTTGGCTAAACTTGCCAGGTGGAGTTGAAGTTGAAAACTGCCATCAAGACCATCAAGAAGGGTGAAGGAGGTGCTCCGGGTGCTCCAATTTTTTGCACTTTCGCATCCGGCGGGGGCAGTTTAATCCTCACGCATGGTCGTTCAAACGCAAGCCCGGACTGAACTGTCATGAGCCACAGCCCACGTACTTTGAGCATTCAAGAACAGACCTTTTTCAGAGGCGGGATTAGCTGTTTGCTTTAAGCTGCCGACCTCAAAATGGCCAAATCCCAAGTTGGCAGAAGAGCAAAAACCAAACATATGTGTCTAGAACACCAGTCCCACATATTCAAAGGCTTATCGGCTTTGTGGGTCAAACGAGGCAAGATCCATCCTCTTTCTTCATCCGCGCGGAGCTCCGAGCGCCGAGCGCCCGGAGCTCGGGAGCGCACGACAGACTGTCGACGTTGCCAGGCACTCGCGGACATCCAGTGCTCATCGTGGACCTCTACGACAGCCAGATCCACTGCGACTGCTTCCTGTCGGCCACCGGCCGCTGCGGACAGGTGGATGACCTGAACCTGGAGGCCAAAGAGACGGCAGACGGTGGCGCGATGGGCGATGGTCGGTCACAAGCCTTTTGGGGTTGAGAGTCGGTGGAGAGTTGCAATAGTTTTATTCCTTCTACATCACCAAGCATGCTTTGCTCAGAAGGTGTTCTTCTTGCATCAGAGTTCCAATAGATAGACTCCCCGAAAAAAAAAAGAAAAGCAGAAAAGGCGTGATGTGAAGCTGGTGGAGTTCGCGATGAGAGTGGTTGGAGGGGTTGGGGGGAAGTGTCATTCGTACATAGACATTCCATGAAGAATCGACTTGTTCATCTTCATTCGCGCTCAGTGGTTCTTGTTCCTCAAGAGGTGTGTGGAGTTTCGGACGTGCAGAAGAATGACGCCTTTTTGCAGAACTTCACGACACGCACAGTCCTCAATCCATTGTCATGAAATGCTCGATCCTTTCACTTCATCCACTGAAAAAAGGGACATGAGTGAATCGAAGGTGATGCTTTTTTAACAACACGTTGTAACCATCTGCAGATCATCACTGCAGATCTGGGCTGTTCGATGAAATGACTCGCGCCACCGACACGGAGGCCTTAGGAGTGAAGTTGGGTCGTGGAAGGATGATCCAGGTGGACGAGCCGCTGGGAAAGCAAAGGATGAGGAAAGCGAGGTGATCCGCTTGGGTGCATGGGTTCCTGTTGCTTCTTTTTTGGAATCGGGTGGAGGTCGAAGTCCTTTCCATTGAAAGGTGCCAAGGGTGCCTGGCAAACCCAACTAGCATCCAAGCCGCCGCTTTGCGACGGAAGAAAGGGCCATGACGGGCCCATCGCGAGGAATCAGCACACGGGCGTGGGCCACATCTATGCCGTGGGCGACTGCGCCGGCGGGAACCTGGCGACGGTGGGGCAAGCGCAGGCGGTGCGCGCCGTCAGGCGGGGCGCCCTCGGGCGCGGTGAATCGGGCAGAACGCAAGTGAACTCACGTGTTCTGAGGAAGGGCCTTGAAAGGAGAAGAGAGAAGTCGAATCATATTTGTTCCATGGGCATTCATCGTTTCTGATGGAAGTTTTGGCTTGGAAGATCTTGGAAGAATGGAGCATTGAGATGGACCCAGTTGACACTTTGCAGATTTGTCAAAGTTTCCTTTCTGAAGGTTTGATAATGCTGACAATGAGTTGCAAGCAAGCAATGTGTTGAAGATCTTTAAATTTGCAATCTGATGATGAGTTTTGAGTCTGACCTTCAGTGTGAGGAAGCTGTTCGGCAGTGGCATCTACACGTTGAAGGATAAGGAGGCCGATGTGGAAGATTGGGATCCAGGAGGGTGAGTTCAACTTTGCATGTTAGCCGTCCTTTGTTGCATGTGAATTGCCGAGCTTCAAACCCATGTGTTTTTGTCCACTCTGTTTGGCCATACCATACTATACCTGGCAGGACCTCGTCATACACCAAACCTATGGCCATAAAATCTCTTCCCTTCAAGTAAGATGCTCTTCAAAAGGCTCATCCTATTCTGTTACACCTCTATGTCACTCACCACATTGGTGCCCTCTATGCTCCTTCGCTGCGGACCCTCCGCCTCTTCGTCCCGCCGCGAGGCCAAGCCTTACATCGTTTGGACTATTCCAGAGGCACGGATGGCGGGGCTCTTGGGCGCCAGAACCCATGTTCCAGATATATGGGGAACGAGCAGCTCTATGGCAAATGAACGTACTTTTTTTTGTTGGTGTTTGAACCAAAACAAACACTCCATCTTGAGTAGGTCGACGGTCTACATCTCTCCGCAGAGTCTCCAACTCTTGCCCAACACATTTCGAGCTTGAGCTGTTGGACCTCGTGAGAAGAGCCCCCGAAAACTCAGCTGAGCTGTCTGGCGGATCGCCAGTGCCAGTATTGGGAGGATGTGAGCACTTGATGTAGCAATTAGTAGCAAGGGTACAACTAGCAGGGAGGATACCAGGCGCAGTTGAGAGGATCTGGGATTTGAGGCTCACCACTTGTAGCTCCTAGACTCCTCACCTTCTGGCAGCGGAAGTGCTCCTAGACTTCTCCCCTTCGGTGCTCCTAGACTTCTCACGGTCCAAAAACCAACGGCGTCCTCGGTCCTTTTGGGTGCCAACGGCGTTCGACGGGTGGACTCCGAGTTGGGGGGGGGGGAAGGACTTCGACGGATGTTCCGTGTGGGACGGACGGATGGATTCCCATGGCGTGGGATGCAGGCAGTTGGATGTTCCTGGGTTCCATTCCGCTTTGGACAGCTCCGAGGTCAGAGAAACCCAGAGGTTTTTAGACAAAGAGTATCAAATAGGTCCTTTCACTGGATGTGCATTTTTTTTGTGTGTGTCTGTTTGTTTGTCTTTCAAAGAAGCCATACCCATCTCAGCCCGTCTCATGCTTGCTGTCTGGCTGCATCGACTCACATCCACTCCAATGGACCTCCTTGTTTGGACATGGCAGGTGGCGTGGGTGGGTCTCAATGAGCAAGAGGCCCAGGCAAAGGACTTGGACTTCGGTGTGGTGCGTGTGGAGTATCACCGGGCGGTGCGTGGCATCGTAAGCGGTGAGGAAGGCTTCTTGAAGATGATCTATGATGCTCGGCGTTTGGGACCGTTTTCGGAAGGAGCGAGTCGGTGATATGCCAGACATACACGGTGGACCGTCAACTTGATTGCCCAAACTATTTTACATCTTCGGGAGAACCATCTGGATGCCATTCAAAGAAGGGCCATGTCCATGGCCTCGGTTTCTTTTGATGAACAAAGGTTCTGGCACTGTTGCAGTTGATCCAAGAGGAGTTCTGGACAAATTGGCCGAAAACTAATCGCAAGCGAGTCATCTCAATTGCGATTTGTTGGTGGATGAAGACAACAGGGATGAACCTCCCACTCCTGACTTTGCACGAGATGAGAACGTGCAGGGAACAGAATGCTGAAGTACTTTTCCTTATCCCTTTCGAAGAATCATATTGGACGTACTGATAGCCATAAATACATCCTAACACCACATCCCAACCGCAAAAACACACATCCCCAAAAGCCGACCTCTCCTCTCCGGACCGGTGGAGGTCCCGGAGGCCCGGCCGGTACCGGCCCGGACCGCTGAGCACAATGAGGATCGGCCACAGGGACGAGTGTTGGGTGTTCACATCTGCGGAGTCCAGGCGGGACGGACGTTTGGTCGAAGCGCCGTAAGGAACGCAGAATGTCCTGCGTGGCACCCATGGGCAGCACGGTTTTGGGAAGGTTCTTGTGGAGGTGTTTCTTGAGGCTGGGGGATGACCTGTTTGGTGGTTGTGAGGGTGGATTCGTCCACAGCTGTGAGATGGATGACATCATTCGGTTCAAACATAACACGACAGACACGCAGTTCTGCGTGGTTTTGCTCTTGCTGGGTGTAATTTGCTGCGAGCCAGTTTTGAGTTTTTCCATATCTCCCTAAACACGCGAGACTGTATTTTGCGATGTGATGCAGTTCAATACTGAGACTGCCCATGTCCACCTATGGTCTCGAACTGCACGTGAAGATGAACATGCACGTTCACATTCACATCAGCTGACTCCTGTCCGGAGTGAAACATCACCTGCCACTGTGTGCGGCCTGGATGTTTCTATGGTGTTGGCTTCGTGATGGGTTCTGCGATGTCCTGCGGATGAAACGGGACGACCCGTCGTCTACAGACGGACCGCGTGTTGGGCCGGGTCGCTGGGTCGCTGGTGCCAGCTGGCGCACGGGTACCTGCGGCGCCAGTTTCACTTGACCTTTGTGGAAGGAAGCTCAAACACGACCAACCCAGCCCACGGTTGCCGGGTTCTTTGGATTCTTTGACGGGCACTGATTGGACCTGATTTTCATCTTGTCTTTAACTATGTGCATACAGAAGTAGACCAGCTGCTCAAGAAGTGCCGTTCCTGGCGACTGCACGAGGCTGGTGAGCTGATCAACTTCGGAGCCGATGCCATCAACAACCAGACCACCATCTTCGACATGCTCCAGTTCGTCTTCCCAGCCGTGCCTGGGCCGCAACCCGATCGGGATCACACAGCGGTGCAGTGACGAAGCTGGCACTTCGGCCAGCCAGGAAGTGCAACCAGCTGGTGATCTTTGAGATTTTCTGTTTGGGATGATTAACGACCCTAGTTGGGAGTGTTTGGTCAAGTTTGTTAGCACATACACAGCGTCAGAAAAAAGACAAAACACACACAATCGGCACAGAGCCTTCTGTTGCAATTCAACTATTCAACTCTATATCTACCAGCATACATCCCCACACGTCTGTCGGTCCTCCGGCGGCACGGTCCTCAGGTGACGTACCACGTGCTCTACAACGCCGCGGCTGCGGAGGCGAAGCTTCGCATGGCCGGGGTCAAGGACCTGAGCGCCGCGGCCTCCTGGGCACGGGACGCTTGGCCGAACGGTGGAAGGTGCAAGGTGGAAGTGGTGGGTGGGAGCTGGTGTAAGTGGGAGCGAAGCAAAGGTTTTTCCACTTTTGTTTGGCTTGGGGGTATGACCCATATGACTTATACTTGACTCATACTTACTTCAAAGAACCCCCAATGAAATCATACTCCCAAGTAAGTATGGTAATTTTCATACTTCATTAGAGTCTTTGATGACCTTTGAAGTATGAACAAACATTGAAGAATCTTCCCGTGCCTCCGCCTAGCATCCGAAGCGGCATGCGGCATGTGTTTCTGTTCCTGCTCTGCTGCCGAACAGCTGCTGCTCTGTCACTGCCTTTCGGTGACCTAAACACAGCCATGGTCAGAATAAGCCGAGATGAGCAAAGTTGAGACCAGGGAGGTATGTAGTGAGATGGAACCCACAACTACCCACTACTTAAACTAATCCTGAACCTTCGATCTTCCTCGACGACGTGTGACTATAGTCCACTCATCCTCATCCTTCCACAGGTGAAGACGGCCATCCTCAAAAGGCTTGAGGGCACTGCCATCACCTTCGAAGAGGCTGGACAGAGCCCCGTGTCACCGTGCCACGGTCTCGATTGATCCAGGAATAGCGACCGGACCGAACGGAAAGTGGATGGAAAGTGGAAAAAGTGAGAGTTGGATTCAGTTGGATCTCTGTGTTTTGCAGTGAACTCCAATGAATGGGACCTTGGCAGATCTGCTTTGGAAATGAATGGGCTCTTTAAGGCTCTTTAACAAAGAGAACGGGCCCGTCCTCAAAGCAGACCCCGAACCACTGCTCAGACCGCCTCCTGTCCAGGGCGTGAAGGGCACCATGCGGAAGTTCGACGCTCGGGGGAAGCTTCGTCTCTACCCGGAGGAGATGAAGGCGCCACGCAGCCAGCTCCATGAGCTGCGGTGATTTCGGGTGTTTCGCGCCTGGCTCGTCCACGTGCCAAGCACCGTGCCACCCGCGCGTTTCCCGCACGTTTCAGACGCGTACGACGAATCAGGCGCTCATGGAGAGCTTGGGGCTTCAACTTTCTCAGGAACAGCTGGAGGCAGGGGAGGAAGAGCTGGAGGGTCATTTTTGCTCAGGTTCTTCACAGGTAAATCAACATGTGGCGTCAAGCTACGATGATCCATGTTCTGGAGCCACACGTTACTTAGTACTTGATTGAGGCGCAAGGGGTGGCGCAGCTTTTTGGATGATTTATGTATGAATCCTGCCGGCTACCAGGCTATGGGCCGGAGATGTATATATACGATGACCAAACCGTATGAATTGGATGGATGCGTCCTTTCTCATCGGAGCGGTTTATATTCTGGATTCTTGAGGTCAACAAGCTGGTCTCAGGAAATCCCTTTTCTTGAAACATGTGACACCACCGCCTTCGCCCTTCGGCGGAGGAGGATGGAGGGGTCCCGTGACTCGAAGGTCTCACCATCCACCTCGGCCAGGATGGACCCTTGACTCGTGTACAACTCCTTGAAAGAATCATGGAAGTGGAAAAGGGTCATCGAAAAGGGGCCATGCCATCCACTTTGATCCATGACATTATTTCAGGGATTGTATCTCGATCTCAAGGCTTCCCTCCCGGAGCGGAGGCTTGGAATCCCCCTCAGCCCTCATCCAGGGTCTTGCAGCAGATCGTTCTGCTGAGCCGATCGCTTCGTCTTCCAGGCGATGATCAAAGAGGCCGACTTGCAGCAGAGGGGCTTCGTGGAGCCTTGGATCGGACGCAGACGGCTTGTTTTGGGGGAAACCAAGCAGATCCCATATAAAGAGCGAGGCCTCAAGCATCTTCTTTTTGAAGTAAACCGGAACTTTTGGTTTAGAAGAAAAACATACGTAACATAGGGTCTTTCGCTGGAGATTTGGGGTTCAGACCAAAAGACGGTCTTTCGGTGAAACCACTGGCTGAGGACTATCCGGACTTCGTGGCCGTCTGCAACACCTGTGGCATGGGCCCCGTGAAGAAGTGCTGAGGGCTCCGCACCGGGTCCGCGCGGTGTGCCGCGGTGTGCGCCGCGGTGCGCGGCCGAGGCGGTGCGCCCCGTTGGGTCACCCCGACCATGTCTCCAGGGAGAGACCAAAGAGGTCGTTGCGGGGGTCCAGTCCAAAGAGGGTTCAAGGAAGTTAGCCCCAAATCAGTGGGACAATTATAATCATACAACCGATAATCAGCTTTCGTTGGTGAGAGGATTTCTGACGGAGGTCTCCCCCAATAATATCCCGGGTAAATGTAGAGCAACCAAGTCCTGTTCTCTCCCCGCAGTTCGTGGCGGCCATGGAGCTTCAACGATATCTCGCATTGGTTTCCAATCACAAGGGGTTCTTCAAAGGGAACATATTGCCTAGCCCCTACCATGATAGATTCTGCAGTGGGCCATGTTTGAGGGAAGCGTTTGCAACTAGCAATTCTTGATGTTGAAAATAAGCTATAGGCCTTTTGCATCCTTTTGCTAAGTTCAGTGCCAACGGTATACAGAACAGCTTTATTTTCTCGCCAGAACTCACCACTACTCACCACTAATTTCTATGAAAGATAAGCTCAATTGGATGCAACATCGATGGACTTGACATGGACCCCACAGAGTAATAGGCCACCGATGGGTGAGCTACCGCAAATTTTTCTTCCCGTGGAACCGGGTGATCTCCAAGGGGCCGGCAGCTCAAGGCTACCGAGACGCCCCGGGCATTTTCGCTTCGTCTTCAGCCAAGCTGAACGCAACGCTTAACCGTCGAGAACTTCAAAAGTGATCGCCCGGCAGGTGGCTTTTCGGATTGGACGCCAGCAGTGCTTTTTGTGTGGCAGATGGAGGGTTCTTCGAGCCAGGTGAGTCTGAAAAGACCTGTTGGAATGTAGGATTTGCAGATCAAGGAGCCAGATATTGCAGATCCCCAACATGCACAAACCATGTGGAGTTCGAATCCATCCGCACCGCTGACCTCGTCGATCTGAAACCGCTGACCGGTGCTTCGCGTCTGGGACGACGTCGGTGGAATCCACCGACACCGCGGGGCAGAGGTGGTGTCGATGTCGTCGATTTCGAGTCCAAGAGAGGAGACCAGAACCTTCGGACCGGATGTGGTACGGATGCGCGACAAGACGGGCTGTGAAAAACATCTCTTGGGTGGCTGAAAACATCACACCGGCAGCCTCAATATTGAACGGATTGCTTTCGCGTGGCGCCAGAATCCGCCAGAATCTCCTACGGGTGATGTGGAGTTCGAAGCAACACGAGGACAAACAATCGAAGTGGACGCCCTGACCTCTGGAAAGACTACAGTATACTCCTCAACCAAACAGCTAGCTAGGTCCATGTTTGGGTCGGGTTCATGTACGTGCTCTCTCCACCTTTTTGGCTCAAACCTCACATGATCCAAACCAAAGAACGAACGGACCCATTCGACGGTCCTTTTTTTCCACCATGGTCCGTTTCTCGGTTTCCAGCAACGAGTTTGGCCTTACCAGGTTCTTCGAAGGATCATAATGCTTCAAATTGCTGGACTGGCACAGGCAGCACCTGATTGTCTCAATGACCGTCCAATTTCCATTCCCTAAAGCGTGCAACCTGACTGTCAGCAGCCTCACTTGCTCGCAGATCTCTCATGGGCTGCTCGAGTAGTCAACTTCCCGAGGACGGGAGAAATCGCTTCAACCTCCTGCGAGTCGCGCGGGATTCAGACCTTTCCCGAATTCGGTGCTAAAAAATATGGGAAAACGACAACGGTGGCCACATGGGATTCTGAAACAGATGGTGGCTCCGGCCGCAAACCTAGCTCCACCACCACGCCTTCGAACCTTTATGGCAAAGTCACCATTCCAACCAAGGCTTGCTTTGGGTCTTACTCTTGGGTTCACACGTTCATGAGGGCATGCCAAACCAAAGGAGTCACAGCAAAAAAGTGTTTTGGAAGAGAGGAGCATGCGACTGATCCGTCTTTTTCTCTTCCAAACCAATTCAATCGGTTGAACAACCATTGAAACACATAAAACGGAGAGCGCCACGCGGAGAGAGTTGCAAGAGAGCTTAAACAAAAGGAATAGGACCAAGTGCATCGCTACTAGTAGCAGGGGCATCGCTACTAGGAACAAAAGGATGCACCTATTCTTATAGTAGCTTCTTGTTCCTAGTAATGCCAGGAGCTACGTAGCCCTGCTTCCAGCTACCGATGCACTTGGCCGCTCGCCAGGCGCCCGATGCGGTCGGCCCCGCACGGACCTTGCTCACCTCCCCCAGCAAGGCACGGAGGGCGGGCACGCGTGACGCGGGTGCCACTGCTTATTCCAAGTATGTTTCGGAGGCGCGTTGATGGTTCTTCTACCTGGTCTTTTTGTGTTGACGAGCTTGGCTCGACACTTGTTGGTAGGGTGGGATGCCTTTTTCCGCCACATGTCCAGCAGCAGGAGGTTCTGGGTTCCTGCGAGGGCACGACATATCCCATGTACATGGCCCATGCACATGACCAGGAGAAGATCGTCACTGAGGATGAGAAGAAGGCCGGATGCTGTTTTTCACTGGGCCATGGTCACTTGAGATATGGCAATCCGGTTCAAGATGCTTCAAGAAACGGTTGCTATTGGGTGAATCGTTTGCTTCCCATGTTCGATTTCCCTTTTTCTTTTCACCTTTTCATGTGTATGCTTACTTTCCATGTTTCATGTTTATGGTTGGACATGAAAAACGCCTCGGCTGCCAATGGGTGTTCCCTGAAGTGCCAGTGGTCCATTTTAATGACAAAGACACCCGTAGACCGAAAGGGTCTCCGGTCTCCTAAATCAATCGCCATGGGCTTCTATAGTGATCCCCAAACAAAAAAGGTGGCACGGTGTCCCATTTTTAGCATTATCTTTTTAACATCACGATGATCTACCTTTCTATCTATCCACACCAGACTGTACCCCATGTCCGGATCTGCTGCGGGGCGAGGCCTTGGAAGGAGCGCTCAACCATCGGCGCCTGCAGATCTGGGTGCTCCGTGCCGAGCTCCTAAGGCCGGGAGTCTGAGTGACCTTCAGCCAGGGCAGAATGCTTCCGCACAGTGCGGAATCGCATCGCGAAGGGGAAGAAAGACTCCGGACATGATGGGTTTTCTAAAAACATCTCAAGAATGGGGTGTATCAATCAATTGGCCAGAAACATAATTGCATCATATTGGATCATATTGGATCATATTGAATATTTGGGGATCATTGGGGATCCATTCTTGGGAGCTAACCTTCAGTAGAATATGGTAGTTGGCCATTTCTCCGTATGCCAACACCTTGCACGATGCATCCAACCACCAATTCGCACACCCACCCACACCAAGAGAATTCGATTTTCACCTACTGCGTCGGTGAAGCAGCTCCCATGAAAGAAAAAAGACTTCAAGCAGCTTGGTGTTCAAGAAAGGACACCAAGACGCTCATCAAAATCCCCCTTCCACGACGGGGAACACGCCTGTCGAGCTCCGAGCTCGCTCTGTGGCCAGGAGCTTCGAGAGCTTTGGGAAGATGGATCCCTTCGTCGTGGTGGAGCATGTCACCAGCAGTCGGAAGCGCCCAGTGAAAGGATGGGTCTGGAGGTTTGGAGGCTTGCGAGGATGGTATAGGAGGTATAGGAGGATATACTTCTGAGATGTCTTCCAAATTCAGATCTCGGTTACGGGGGTTTTGCAAGATTTCCTCTTGACCATTTTCCACCAGTTCCTGGATCCCTTTCCGAAGATGTGAATAGATCAACCCTGGTGGGCTTGGAGGTCAGAATTTCTCCCCAGCTTAATACTCAGACCGAGTCAAGCTTTAGAGCTTTAGCTTTCCTGATGAGACCCAGAGATCTTTCAACATCCTGAGTTTGTGGTCGTGGTAAGTCACAGGGAGCATCGACAAAGTCCACCTCACTTTTTTGGGAGACAACAGGCCTGTTGTCTTCCACTGGGGTGACTGTCCTTGTCTCAGGCATTTTCAACTGTTTGTTCATGTTTGATCCATATGAACACCGACTTCAAGACCAGCATCGCTTTGCACTTGCCTGTTGTGTATATCCCAAGCAATTGGATTCATTGAAGGCAAGTCTTCTGATTCTTCCTTTGCGAAAGAACGCAGGAAGCTTTTGACTGCCGGTCCCAAAGGTGTCCTTAGGCTGTTCTGGGCATCATCCAATCAGAGTCCAATATGGGTGGGTATTGAAATAGGGAGATGTCCCCGAACGACCTCCTGGAAGACGGAAAAGAGACCCAAACCCATTGGCTGGGCGTCTCCCGATTAAAATACACACCCATATATGCCCAAGGCATGCGAAGCATGCTTGGCGATGCCAGCCCATCGTGTTTTTCACTAAGTGTGTCGCTGAGTGATCAGCGCCGAACGACCTCACCGGGGGTGTGGCTGAGATTCTGAACACAGGGACACCTGGTGCCTGGAGGAGCTTTCTTTGGGCGCTTGGCACCATTTTGCCCCAGTTGTGCTTGCTTCTTCCGCGCTGTTCCGAGGTGGCCATGTGTGGGAGTTCGCACGCACGAGGACCGCGCCGGTCAACTGGTTGAACGCCGGTCAAGCGTCCAAAAGAATCACCAGTATCCAGGGCCCAAGACCAGGACCTTCAGTCCCTGACCTCTTTGGAGTCTCTTTTGGTGAACCGAAAAAAAAACGGCCTGGGACGTGTGAGCGCATCCTCTAGGGACGTGGATCGACCAGTTACATGGTCACGAGTCACGACCAGTTGGTCCTGGGACCGCTCCGTCCAGATGTGCATCGATCACGGACAGCTGGCCGCCGCCGCTCACCCCGACAGAAGGGCGGCCAGACCTCTCGGAGGACGGATTGGGGAGGTCACATGAAGCCGAACTTCAACCACCTGTGTCGCAGCTTGGAGGCCTTCTAGACGTGAGACGGGAGGACGTTCGGAGTGGTCGAGTTCGGGAGCGACCGACCGTGACGTCTCCCAAAAGTGTTGGAGCACCACTGAGCTGCCAAAGCATGGAACCCCAACTAGGAGGTTTGTGGAGACGGTCAATCCCTGAAGGCATCAACCTTCAGACCTTGAGTTGTCCTGTGCTCCGCGAGCTTGCTTTGCTTGAAGAGGTTCCATACCTCTACTGCACAAAGGTTCCTTGGAGGCCAACGCATCACCACACCTCTAGGGGTCAACTGTAGTCA